GCACAAGGAACTCCAATCAGTCGTATACCAGTCCCGGTTGATCCAGTAACATCGGTTCATGTATGATCTATGTTTTTTTAAAGAACAACACCATTAGATTGTGAAAGAAAAAATACATCTTTTTTTGGTGTGGCCTCAAAAAAAGAAAAGAACTTAGATCATTACTCTCTATGTGCAGCAGAAACAAGCTAGGACGCGACTGCCATTTCAAACATCTTCAAGTCCATTTGCAACGCATGTATGTGCTTTCATGAAAAAAAAAGATAGCTTGTGCCCTCTTCAAGTCATGTGCTTTTCATGAAAAAACTTGTTCTTCTGCTATGTTGCAAACACTTATAACTCTAAAAAGAAGATAAAAAGAGAAAAGAAAGTAACTTATACTATTACGAAATTCTAACATGCAAAAAGGTGAAATGATGTAGGAAATGAATTTTCTTGGAAGTGGTTACATGAGCTACACACAATTGTTGATGGTTGCTGATCAAGAGGTACTATAAGTGCCTTTATATTGTTGACTTTGACATGTATAGTGGAAACAAAAAAATGTTGAAAAATGTCAACAAATAAAATATAAACTATATAACATGTTTGTGGTCACAGGCTGGTATTGGTGGATATCAACATTCTGGTCAACAACAAGATTCTGGTGGCAGGGGGTTTTGTGAGGTATGATTTCATTTACATATGTACATATCCGACTGCCCTTTCCCCCATGTGTGACAGAAAAATAACAAAAAAAATATGCTTACTCTCTTATTCTTGTTGTTGCTGATACAGAATGACGCATACATGATAACTGAGTGGTATGGGCATTTGCAAGGACAATATGAGGGGGGAGAGCCAACAGGGAGGCAGCAAGCGGGAAATGTAGATGTGGGGGCAGAAGGTTTCCCTAGCTAGAGCTGGGATGGAAACACAGCTGAAACGCGCCAAGGTTGCAGCTACTAACCTAGATACAAAGAACAAGACAGCGATGATGGTGATTTTGACTTTGATGAAGGTGAGGATGACTTGGATGATGATTTGGATGATGAAGTTGCTGCTGGTTCAAGCCATGGACCCAGTTTCCCTGAGGACATGAGTCTTGATGGTGGTTTGGGTGATGATTCAGCAGCTGCTGGCTCCAGCCATGGCCCTAGTTTCACGGATGGCATGAGCTTCGATGATGTTTCAGACAATGGTAAACAAGAAGACGCACATGGAAAAAACAAGAATGTCTGTGATTGTGATGATCAACAGGAAGGTGGGCCAGTGCAACAAGAAAATGTTGAACACCTATCGCAGGAGGACATACTCATGTTCATAGAAAGTGACAGTGTCTGTGCGGCTCAGGCTCAGACTTGCAGCCAAGAAGTACAGAGCCACCATGTGCCATATGTGGGCATGGTCTTTGATTCTTGTGATGCTGCCCATGCATTATACAATGAGTATGCAGCCATTTGTGGGTTTGCAATCAAGAAAGCAGGCAACTACCATGCAACTAAACATGGTGGAAAGGCAATGTCCCATTACACTTACAGGTGCAACTGCTCGGGTAAAGTTGTTGGTGAGGATGTGCTTGAAGAAAGGAAAAAAACAGAGGCATCTCAAGAAGCAAGAAAAAACAGGGATTCCCCCGCCTGAGAAGGCAAAAAGGAAGAGGAAAAACTTCATACAAATAACTGGGTGCCAGGCTAAAATGATTGCAACACTAAAAGGAGACAAATGGGTTGTCACGGTTGTTGACCTGGAGCACAACCACACCCTTAGCCCTCCAGACGAGAGCAAGTATCTCAGATCGCACAAGAAGATGACAGAGGAAGAGAAATTGTTTATCAGGACAGTTAACTCTGTACAGATGCCCACTAGGAAGATTATGGCCATTCTTTCTTACCTGCGAGGGGGTGAAGCACCATACACTAAGAAATATGTTAGCAATGTGAGGACGGCAATAAACAGAGAGAATGGCAAGGGAGATATGTTGCAGGTCCTTGAGTACTTTAGGAACAAACAAAAGGAAGATCCAAATTTCTACTATGCATTCAAAGTTGCTGACGAGGACATCAACAAGGTGTTGTGCATATTCTGGGCGGATGGCTACTCAAGAAAAATGTATGAGTTGTATGGTGATTGTTTGAGTTTCGACACGACATACAAGACAAATCGTTACAATATGCCGTTTGCACCGTTTGTTGGCATCACTAGACACGAGCTCAACTGCTTGTTTTCTTGTGCTATAGTGCACAACGAGACGGTGGACACATTTGAATGGCTTTTCGACACATTTCTGGACTGCATGCGTCGAAAAGCTCCTCTCACGGTCATTACTGACCAAGATGTGGCAATAAAGACCGCGGTTCATGCTGTTTTCAAGGGTGTTGTTCATAGGTGTTGTCTCTTCCATGTAATTAAAAAGGTTCGGGAAAGATGTGTGAGAACCTTTTCAACACAACCAGACTTGTATGCTGACTTCAGCGACATCATGCATAGCTGCCTGACAGAGGCAGAGTTTGAGACGTTGTGGCCACCGATGACGCAGAAGTATGGAGTAGAGAATGTCAAGTACTTCAGGTACATGTGGAAGTACAGGAAGTTGTTTGTCCCAGTCTATTTCAAGAAAAGCTTCTTCCCTTTCATCCACTCGACTGCCCGGAGTGAAGGGACAAATGTCATATTCAAGGAAAATGTAGGCTCAACATTCAGTGTGATTACCTTTTTGCGTGAGTATGAGCGGATATTGAAAGCGATGCAGGAGAATGAGAAGGAACAAGACTCTATTACCAGAACAACAAAGCCAACCTACTGGCTGGGCACTGAACTGGAATTGCAGGCTGTAGAGAAGTACAACAGAGCGATATTTTATAGATTTCAGAAAGTTATAAAGTTTGCAAGCCAGTTGCATGTGGAGGAGGTTGAGAAAAACACAAGGTACGAGGTGTACAAGACACGGATGCTCGCTGAGAAAGATTTTAGAATCCGGAGATATGTTGTCATTGTTGATATGCACAGAGAGGATTTTGCTTGCATTTGTGGAAAGTTTGAAAAAGATGGCATTGTGTGCAGCCACATACTTAGGGTATTAACACACCTCAACTTGCCGGTGCTACCTGAGAAGTACTACATTGACAGATGGAGACCCAAGCAAAGAAAAGACATTAGAAAACTCAGGTACGGCGTCCCTGAGGAGCTAACAGCAGGGGACCATCACCTTAGATACATGTTGTTGTCTAGCAGACTGGATGAAATGGCTTCCGATGCTGCATCATCCAATGAAAAATATATGTATGTGGTTGGTGAAAGTGTGAGGATTGAGGCAAAGCTAGATGAGATGACTTTGGCAGAGGAACAGCAAAAAATGCAAGACAGGCATGTTGAGAGAGCTCCAGCCCCTACTATGGTCACGCCGCACCCTGATGGGTACGGGGAAATTCTAAAGGATCCTGATGTTATTGCTTCGAAGGGGCGTCCACAAGAGCGTTACAAGACATTTTTGGAGAAAATACAAGCAAAACAACAAATTGGTTGCAGTCATTGTGGTCAGCATGACCATGTTTTTGCTTCGTGCACAAACAAACACATCTCCAGGTGCCAATTTCACGAGAAGACTACAGTCGGCAAGCAACCAACAAGTTTGCCTCAATCCACGCACTTTAAAAGGACTACTACTTAAAATCTCATCACTCTGCTCCTGTCATTTGTTTATACCTAAAGAACTAAGAAAAAAATCTTGTTGTCACAGGAGTCCCTGGTGCTTCAAAGGATAGTAGTAGGAAGAAACAAACAGGAGGGGGGCCAAAAGCAGGTGACAAACGGAGTGCACAGAAGGATACTACTAGTGTGCCTAGTGCCTCAAAGGGGATGACTAGAAAGAAACAAACAGGAGGGAAGCAAAAAACAAGCGAGAAGCGGAGCACACGAAAAGATACTACTGATGCATCTTGAAGAAAGAAAAGAGTTGAAAGTTCTTTAACAATAAGTACATTATAAGGAGAGAAGATGAAAATTGTTGCATGTTTCTCTTCCTCTTTTTTTGCTTATGAACTGAAAACACTGTTGCTGCGCAAATGATGGGAAACAATGTGGATAAATTACCTTGTTGCTGTTGGTCTTGATCTTTATGAGTGTTTCCTTGCATTATGAGAAAAATCCAAAATGGGCATTGTTTCTCCTCCTTAAGTTCATAAGTTTTTGGTGCCTGTTGTATGATCTTTATTAGTAAAATGACAAAATGCAGTAAAACTGTATGAACAAAACTTGCTACCCTAGCTGGGATTCTGAAAGATGACTTCATACTTTAATATGTTTGTAAGCAAAAAATGAGTGCAGGAGTATATAGGAAAAACTCAAAAGATGAGCAAAAAGATTTTAGGTTGGATCTGAACCTAAAAATATAGAGATCTAGAAACTTAAAGATGACTGTTGTGCATTAAAATGAGTACAAAAAAGATATAAAAAGAGAGGGTGACCTTTGTGTCGTCATCTCCTTGGCCCTCTCCATCAGATGGAAAACACAAAAAAAAGTATTGATGCCCACACGGGAAACATGAAAATTCATTTAAGCAAAATTTTGGAAAATGTGCAAACATAAACACATGAGCAAAACACTGTTATAGTTCTTGTGTTTCACCACATTACCGAGTGAAAAAGACCAAACTAGGGTAGAAGTACCTTCGGGAGCACATGTTTCCCAACCAAACAAAAATAACAGAGGGGGCATATATATGCGTACAGCAACAAGAAAGGTGTACATTCTCTGTTCATACAAAAAATAGAAAAACATCTCGAAAATGTTTAACAATTGCTAACTATGTGTTTGATACATCTCATCTTTCCTTTGATTTTGCTAATATGACTCTTGATATAGCTCCTCTTGTCATTGTGAGTGGTGTCTTTTAGGAGCTGTCAGCACTTTTTCATGTCTGCAAGGGAGGATAAAAACATAGGGGGAAACTTAATAAAATCCTGTCACAAACATAAAGCAAAGGAATCTGAAAAAACCTGAAAAAGCATATGGGGTTAACCTATAGGCGGAACTCCTTGACACGCTTCTTCTCGTCATCCAAAGTGTTGTAGTGGCTGAACATGAGATCAACAGCATATCGGATCCTTGCATCTGGGACATTTTTTGGTGAAAAAACTATAGGGGTTGGATTCCTTGGGCACCATCCCATTAGTTTCATAGTGAAAATGCCACAATCAATACTGAAAAGGACATACACACAAAAAAGGTACATGTGTTTGTGAACAAAAATGTATAAAAAAAGTTACAACAAAGCAAAAGGAGTCAGGAAAAATAAAAGTGTAGATGTTTGGTTTCGTACTCGTTATCTTGTTGAGGGACTTTAGGGTAAACAGTAGGGAATGCACTGAAATCCATTGGCTGGAGCCGAGCTTCGTACCAAGTGCATATAAAGCTTGAGATCTGCCTCAAATATAAAAAATAAACATTTACTAATGTTTGCAGGAAAACTTGCAGACAATATAATTATCACAAAAAAACAGTATTAAAAACCCTTGCACTTACAATCTTCTTTTTTATGTTCATATGATATGAGCTATTCTCATCATAGAAAGAATCCAAAAAATAAAATGTGCGACCCTTGATGTCGACGACGAACAGAAAGTAATATTCCTCGTGTAGTGTTGGAAAGTACAACTTGTGTACATCCATTTTGGAGTTGATGCAGAAAAGGGAAAAATATAGATAACAGGTTAGTGTGTATGAAAGAAGGAAAAAAACACTAAACTAAATTATAGCTGAACTTGTGTTGTGGAAAAATGAAAAGAGGAAGTTTGACAAAAAACCTTGTCTGACATCAAAAGATTATGTGCTTTTCCAGCTCCAATGAAACTTCTAATCAGTTTCTTCCTCCACCAAATTCTTGCCTCATCATTTTTCCATTTGCCCAGGAAATATTCCTTTTAAAGTTGTTGAATGATGAAAATTTTGAAAGGTAGGTAAGTACAATGACAGAAAAAATAAAAACAAGGGAAAAGCATCAAAAACAAACAGAGAGAAAAAATGTGGGGTTTCATTTTCTTACGGATGCAGTGTGGAAGAAATAGTGCTTGAGTGAGTTCCTAGGATGATTTTCATTAAATAGGTGCCTGCAGTACACATTTATGACATAGGCCTGGACCCGGCCACCTATTTTCTTCGAGTTACCCAACTGTCCAAATGTGGCGATGGTTTTGTCAATCAAAACTGCAGGTTTGCTGTACATATAGAACAAAAGGAAAACATGTCAGCTTGCAGGTTAGGCTTACGCACAAAAAAGTCTTTACAGTGAGTATAAGGCAAAAAAACATTTTGCAAAAAAGAAAAAAGTGCATCTAAGAAAAAACTCACGATCCTTCAACATTGGCCAAGGATGTTATGTTCTCATACATCTTTCTCTCATGTGGCATTATTTGGCCCCTCTCACTGCAGCCGTATAGTGAGCTACGGTACCTGCTTGGTTGAACAATCCTCTTTGGTGGTACATTTTCTTTTCCACGGAAACTGCTTGGCCTTCCTAACGAGAGATTTGTGTTGTAAAAATCATCAGTTCTGTTGACCAATGTGCTGCGCTCTTGCCTAAACATGTTTCCTCCATGAATTTTGAGTTATCCTGACTATACATATGGCACAAAAAAAGAAATTCAGAAAAAAGAAAAGAACGATTAACAAACAGAGAGCACTTAAAAAATTAAAAAAACGGCTGTTTATAGTTTTTTCTTCCATTAGTTGTACTGGATTCCTTTTGCTGCCGCTGGATTCTTGTTGACAGCTTTCCTCCTCTGGAAATAACCTTTTTCCTATTATTGGAACCATGGAGTAGTCCTGGGGGGAACATAAAAAAGAACCAAACACACAAAAAAGTGCATATGAAAAGGATTGTTTTAGTACAAGAAAAGAATAAATGCTTGTATTTGATAAGAAATCTGCTATTTCAGGACTACCTTCTTCATTTTGAGTGGGGGAGTCTCGGCTGTGTACTCGTTATTATTTTTGCATGGTGAGTAGCAAGTTTGCCTGTGATTCCACCCAGTTGACATTTGAACTTCAGGTGTTGTCTGCGCCACATAGGGTGAATAAAAAAAGGAAGGAAAAAGTCAACCCTGGAAAAGCTTGGGAGAAAAAAGCCTATTTGTGATAAACTACTACAAGAGAAGAAAGTTTTTTGCGAAACTGACCAAATCAACAATCTCCTCAACTGGTTTTGGGGGGTGTGGCGTCTCACACATCAAACTTCTCTGTACTTCCCTTTGGGCGCACTGAATGCTTAGCTCGTAGTTTGAACTACCGCTCCCCTGTTTCTGTGTTGCTCGTCACAAAAACCAAGTACCAAAAACACAGAGAGAGACCAAAAAAGAAGTCAAAAAAATAGACAGCGTTTATAGCAATGATTTGAATAGATGGGGGTAGAATACCTTCAAGTTTGTATTCCCTTGCACACAAATGTCAAGTTCTTCTGGCTCTACTTCCTTGAAGTTTCTGGCGATCTTCAACTTCGTTGCCTGTTTATGAGAAAAAGAAAAAACGCTATGTGCACTGAAAATATGGCATTTATGTTGATAGGAGAAACCACTTGTGGATGAAAAAAAGATATTGAAAAACTAGCCTCTATCTTTTTATTGTAACACTCATCCTTCATCCATACAGGCCTCCACAATTCATGTTCTTTGATTATATTTCCACATTCATCCACATCTTCAGCGATCCTGAATGAGGGGGTGCTATCATTGGCGAAGAAGTATTTTTATCTTGCCTTGTCTAGAAAGTCGCTAATGATTTTATGGCCTCTTGCAAAAACCTCATCTGTATGTGTCCCTGAAAACAAATAAAGCATTTCAGTCACACACACACACACACAAGAAAGGAGACCTCTGATTGTGCCCGTACATTAATGTCTATGCTTCAGTTTTTATAAAATAGAGAGCATAAAAAAAGACATGCTTACCACTCTCTGGTTGCGCTTTTACATTAATGTCTATGCTCAGGTTATCCGGGCGCCCCCTAAAAGTTTTCCTCTGTGGGTCCTTTTTCAAGTGTGTTTTCAAGTGAACAAACAAAAAACAAGAAAAAAGACACAGTTAAAACACATAGAAGAAGACAAAAAGATTGACAACTAGATAGTGGAAAGCATGTCTATGAATGCCACTGCTGACATGAAGAAAAATAAATTTTGTGTACCAATTCCTGAATTGATGTGTTTTGAAAACCAGAAAATGTTGTTTGCTTTGATTCCGTGAAAACTATTTTGGACTGAATGAGCTCTGTTGGGATGTCCTCCTTGGCACTCTCTACTACATTTTGAACATGTTACTCTTTTGCTTCTCCAATAAGCATGTAGTTGAGGCTGCTGCTTTTCTCTTGTTGATTATCTAGAGTGTGGGCTTCATCCTTTTCTTCACTCTGTTTTGAGGGGATTTTTTGTCACCCTGTTGCAGGAAAAGAATGCAAAACACAAAAGCAAAAAAACTATGTTAGACGAATCTTTTTGAAAATCAACTTGCATTACGAAAAAGAAAAAAAGCACATTCTGTACCTTCAAAAGAGCTTCCAAAGGCTTCTTGTGCTTGATTGAACAGGGATCATGTGGTTCGCTGCTTGATTGGGCATCTATCCTCCTCCTTTTGTATTGTATCAAAATTGATGTGGTTCAAAATGAAAAAAATGGAGTTAGGAATGTAAGTTCAAGAGAACAAGAAAAAGAAAAGAACATTAAAAAGTTACAAAAAACCAAAAAGTTGTACCTCCATCTACATGGTTTCCTGGAGCGAAAGTTGATGTCGCTGGAGCACACATTTCCGTCATGGGGTCCTTTGAGGAATGCTCTCTTTGACATTGTGCTTCAGAGTCAGACTGTTTAAGGGTACATGGTTAGACGCAAAAAGAAAAAGGAAAAATGTGTGGCCTATTAGCATTTGTGTTGCAGTGCGCACCTTCAGCTTGCCTATTTCATGGACTTTAGGAGGGCTGCTACAAAACCCATCAGCTTCATTTGTGCTCCCTTTTCCAGCATTTGTTTTTGATACAGAAGAACCAGCAGACTGTTGGCTAGTTGATAGAACATTCGTTTTCCTTCTTTTCCTTTGCACCAGATGCCCTGCATGGGGAGGAGAAAAAAGGGGCACCAGACGGGAGGTGTGACACCTTTGTAAAAATGCTGACTTATAGACTGACTTGTAGGCACACATTAGAAAAGGAACTACTATTGAAGGATTACAGCAAAAAAATGGTGACACACCTCTGTCATTTTCCTCTTGAAGTTCAGTCGATTGTAGTTTGACAGTGTCTCCTGAGTTGTTAGATTGTTGGCTTGCATTCAATTCAGTTCCTGTTGAGCCCACTTTAACTGTATCACCTGATTCACCAGAGGCATTGGTTATGATGCGGATCGTGTCTAGAAGAAGCCCTTTAGCTTTGATGCAAGTATTTAGGTCTTCATTCTTCATATGGTTTTCGTAAGCGAGGAAGATATCCTCTTTGACCTGGTCCAAAAAAATACATGATGCATCACAAAAAAGTGAAAACTCGTAAAAAAAGGCATAGGCTGTACATATAGAAACCGCATAAAAAAGGGTTTGCTTCAATGAAAAAAGCATGGGGTCACAAACCTTGTCAGACAAAGAATTCCCTGCAACATTGTTTATCGCTTTCCTGAAATTTGAATTCTTAATCGTACTTGCCCACTCAAAAGTTCCATCCTTATAGCAGGTTTCTGATACTTCTTTTATCTACAAAAATGCATATAGAAATAAAAAAGTGTAAGAAATTTAAAAATTAGAAAATGTTACACAAAGGATGTCATGCTTTTGGATGTGAAAAAGAAAAGGAGGGTGAAAGAACTTACTGTCAGACATCCATACTTTCCATCTCTTCCAATGGTCATGTCACTTAAATGCTTGACCATATCTCCCTTCCAAACACATATCCTGGGCATCAAAGATGGGATTTGAATTGAGCGAAAATCAGTAAAATCAAGGCAACAGACCTGCAAAAAAACAAAAAATAGGGAAAACATTAGATTAGATGATATAGGACTACACCAACAAAGATAAACAAACACAAAAATGGCTTAATCACATAAAAAGAACATATTGTATTTGAAAAAAAAGAGTGACATACTGCTAGGTGGTATATACATCCTCCTAGAGTCATCATTGTTCGGTTCTGCTTCAGCTTTTCCTTTTGGTATTTCTTTATATACATCAACTCCCAATCGTGAACAAACATGCACCAATTTAGTTGCTTGAGTTGCTCCACATTAACTAGAGCTCCCATATATTTGGTGCTTGGTTTAGTGCTTGATGTCGGGCAGAAGAATGTTGATAATGCCACAACCAGGAAACAACGGATGATCTGGTCGTCAGACATATCTTCGTTCATCAGCTTATTGCCAAAGAATTTGATTGTTGGGACTTCTGTCAACCCAAAAAGCGCAAGAAAAGCTTGTTTGCCAGCCTCTTCTTCTTTAGTGTTTATGATTGTTTCCCTTGAAGGAATCCCCAACACAAACTCCACTGACTGAGCATTCATGGAATGCTCTTCTTGTTGAAAACAATTGCTTCTGCTTTTGTGTCAACATTGTCAGGGATCCACTGCACAAACCCCCTGGGTACAGTATAGTCAACCAGCTCCAACAGATATCCGAAACCGCTGTTCCTAACAAGCTGGACCCTGTGGTGGCTCTTACACATGAAACTGACAATCTCGGAGAAGTATGGCATGCTACACCGGTTGTAAGCTTTGGTCGCAATCTCATCAATTGTGGCTTTGATTGTGTTTGGGTCAATCCTTGCTCTCTGCTACAAAAATAAAAAATATAGAAGGTAAGAGAAGGTGTGTGAAATTTTTTTGAGCTACACAACTATAAAAAGAATGGAACCGCAACTGAAGAAAAAAAGAAAAGAGCGGTGGCGTACCTTCTTTTTTCATTCCAAAACAGCTTTCCGATGTTCTTTCCTTTGAGCACTTTTAGTCAGCTAGCAAAAAGCAAAAAAAAAAGAAAAAAATCATTAGGGTGGAGCAAAGAAAAAAGAGGCAACACAAATCATTCATTAGCTATATATTTGTTTAAACATCAAAAAAGAAAATAATCATAGCCTCTCTTTCAACATGTGTTGCCTAGTTAAAAACTTCATATATGAACTAATAACCTTGGAAAAAGAAAAAGTGCATATTTGTATATAAAGAGTTACACACCACCGTCAGAACTTCTTCATACAGCAAATCGTCTGATGCTTCAGTGTCGGTGATCTCGACATCATAGCCTCTCTCATCTAAATCAGTATCTTCCACACACTGATGTCTCCCTTCTTCATTCCTATCATTCCCAGGCTTCCCTTCTTCATCTTCAATATTTGTACCTGGGTGTGGCTGTGTTCACAAAAAGAATGCATATGATACATTAGTGTTGCATAGTAACATGTATCTTTTGCAAACATACTCTAGGCCAAAAAAAGATAAACAGCAAAAACAACAAACATATGTTGCAGGGTAACTTCCCTTGTTTGCTAATGCTTAACGAAAAACCAAGCACTGGACATTGTAAAAAAGCATACAAAAATGGGTGATTGCATTTAACATACCACACTGT